GTAGGAGGGGACTGTAGATGCCTGAAGTGACTGTGTGGAAATCCCATGTTTTGAGCCTGCTGGTGATGCCATGAGGAAATAAAAACCACACACAGGATCATACAGATAAAGATGCAAATACAGTGCCTGTGTCTAATTTGGCTTTATGTTGGGACATCAAATTGCCTTGCATTTCTTAAAATTTTGTGCCTGACAAACAGTCCTACTTCACTAATACTGTACTTCACTAATGCTGTACTTCACTAATACTTTTACTCCTTCAATTTTGAGTATCCTCCTTTTGCAAATGAATATTTAAGTAGAACTTTCTACACATGGAAACTGATGAAAATGGGGAGACAAGGTTGTTCTATAAGAAAGGCTAATACTTTTTATTTCCAAACCCTTCTTCTCATGCTTCTGGAAAGACTTTCCTGATTGAGCAACATCACTGGAGAGCGAGGCATTTTTAACCTAACTTGTTACTTTGTGCTGAAAGTGACTTCCCTGCACGAAAAATCAAGAAGAAAATACAGGTAGAGACAGGAAGACAACAACAAAGAATTGAACGATTACAGGAGTAAATTCCCGTTCACAGCTTTTGAAGCCATCTTTGCAATACTCCCGGATCTCATTGTAAGGGCACAAAAGGAGAGCGAAGCAGAGAGCACTGAGGAACAGAACTGCTTGGGAGAGGAGGGGATTCTTTGCAGACACGAAGGAGAAGTGGGCTATCAGGCTGCAGTTTGCCAACAGGCTCTAGCTGCTCCGGCCGGGGCTCGCTCTGGGGCGGGCGGGCACCAGGACCCCGCCGGGACCCCCGCGCCGGCCGCCGCTGGCCGCGGTGCTGAAGCTTCAAGGGACGGAGGTGGACGGGGGGCATCCAGCAAAAGGAGTTTTGAGTCTTTTTCGTGGAGGCGAATGATGAGGAATTCCGCAGGCTGGCTTATGCTGAGGTGGTGGCCGCGGTAGGTCTGTGCGGGCTGCTGGTAAAGCTTTGGTAGTCGGACTGCCTCGTTGGCAGTGCTTGTAGCTGGGATATCGGTTCAATGCAGACAAGCCCAGACAAGGAGCTAGGGCATAAGTCTGGCTTTGACAGTGTAAAGAGTTTAGACTGAAGCGTATCCAAGGCTGCAGCCTGCATCCTGAAAGGAAATTGAAGTAATGGCACAGTTGGGGTCTCGCATATTACAACTCTTTATTTCCTGCAGCAATGAAATGGCCACATTCCCTGCTCATTCACCCTACCAAACACACCCCCACCTACCCTCCTTTCCCCCCCCAACTCAAAAAAAAAAAAAAAAAAGTAGTATCATTTGCTTGTTTGAGAATAGTGTTTTTTAACAAAAAGAATCAGATTCTTTGTGCCCTGTTTCAAATCTGTTGCATGGTGCTAACTGGAGCCATTGCAGCAGAAACATTGCTTGGAATCAGCAAGAAACTTAATGAGGCTGTTAGCTGGATTTTGTAAGATAAACAGGAATGAGCTGTGTGTGTTTTTCAAGGTGGAAAAGGTATAAGAGCAGGAATGCTTTGTGTTTAAAAACCTCAGCTCTTCAGGTCACTTTTAATGTGTATCCTTGACCACATGTAGTTACTGGAAAACAGGAGTATACACAGTTTATGGCCATGTTTAAGATCATGATCCTGCTGGCTAAGGCACAGAGTGAACAGCTAGGAGTAAGCTGCTGCTGGGCTGAGCATTAATGTGCTCACCAGCACAGTGCAGGTATGAGGTACTGCTCATCATCTCTCAGAGTGGGTCAATCCTTGATCTTCCTGGGTGTCCATCTTCTGACTCTCTGCATTTCTCAGAGGAATTTGGTTCTTTTTTGGTTGTCATTAGCCAGAAATATTTACATGACTGTTTCTGACTTCACAGCTTCTTCCTTTGGGTTTTATTTGGGCTTTTTCATTTGCTCATCTTGCTCATTTTAGTTTGCTCCACTGACAGGAAATATTTCTGACTAAACTTAAGGCAAGGGACCAGGCAAGCCTCAGGTCAGATTCAGCTAAACCTCAAATGGCTATGAGCTCCAGTTCCACTCTTTGAGGGTTTGATCTCTTTTGGTCATTGATGCCATTGTTTTATTGATAATTAGGTTGAGTCTCCACTTACATCTCTGTTTAATGGGCTGCAACAGGGTTTGGAGTCTTAATGGCAGCCCTCAAACCAAAATCTGGTATCACAGGACATGCAAACACCAGTCTATTTAATACCCTGACTATACAACTGGACCTCTAATATCATCACAGCCTACCTTCTTGATCATTTTTAGCCTCTTTAGTATTTTATTAGCATCTCATTTTGGGCAGTGATGGAGATATAATGCAGAGCTTGATATAGAACAGAGTTCAATGAACCTTTGGTCTGACATGGTAGGGCTGTATTTTTGATATTCCAAGTCAGGTTGTCAGCTGATTTAGAGCACCAGAGACAGTTCTTAAAAGATAAGAATTCAATATCCTAGTTTTGTTCATTGACAGGTTTTGCAAAAGCATACAGGTGCCTGAAGTCTAAATTAAAATGAAAACATTTAAAAATAAAATGCATAAAGTTTAACAAAGACAAGTGCCAGATTTTATGTCTGGCATGGGACAATCCTGGATGTATGAACAAACTGGGGAATGAGAGGCTGGAAAGAAGTGCTGTAGAAAAGGACCTGGGGGGTTGATGGCAAGCTGGATGTGAGGGCACAGCATCACCAGCTGGGTAAGGGAGGGGATTGTCCTGCTCTTCTCTGGAGCAGCTTCACCTAGAGTCCTGGGGGCAGTTTTGGGCACCACACTATAAAAAAGATATTAAGTAATTAGAGAGCATTTACCATTACATAAAGGAGGGGATGAGACATATCAGTAAGCATAGGCTGTCTGAGGTGCTCAAAGTCCTTTCCAAATGACTCTTAAGGCAGTTTGGAAGTGGTTCTTCACTACATAAAATAATGATTATAATAAGAGCTACTATGTTGACTTCCTTTCCTGAATTCAGGGAGAGCCCAGAGTAGGAATCCTTAGTGCATTATTTCCTTATCCTTGTTTTTACAAAACTGAGCTCACTTCCTGTTCAAATAGACATTTTCCACTCACACTTCACAGCTGTAGGGCAAGATACATGACTTGAAATCACAGCCATCTTCAAAATAGTACAGTTATTCCAAACAGCACAATAATTCCAGTGAAAGAGCACAATAATTCACAATGGTACAATTAATCAAGAACATTCACTGTGGAACATCCACTCAAAGGGCTTCAACAGCACTGGGATTCTGGACCCTGCTCTTTTACTCCACTGAATTTTTAGGATAAAGTGCAAGTGACTCCACAGCTTTTATCCCTGTATACTACAGTAGGTTTGAAAGAATCCTAACTCTCAACTTCAATGTCTGTAAAATAGGAATCGTCAAAGGGAGGATTCCATTTCTCTTTACCTGCTTCCTGCAGGACCATTGCTTGCCATGGAAAGACCCGTGGCTCTCCAGCCAGTCTGGGCATGAAGCAGATGACCAAAATGCCTGCAAGTCATCTTACAAGGTAGCATGGTATCTTGGTAATGATGTGTGAGGCTGCAGCTTTTAACTATTCTAAACCCTCTTTCTTTGGGCTTAACATCTGCAGGGCATTCCAGGGGCAGTGGGCCAGGCTGCTACAGAGCTCCAACAGAACAAAACTGGAGCAGAATCCAGCAATCTTGGATGATTTCAAGTGTTAAGATTCCAAAGAATGAGTTAGCAATCAGAAACATGGGGCTTTATGTCAGGGGGTACATCTTGCTGCAAAAAATGGAGGTCAGGCTCCAAAATAGGTCTGAGCAAAGTTCAGCATTGAAGTGGGCAAGAAGTAACCTGAAACCATTCCATCTTGTGGAATACTCCTGAAGTGAATTCTGTTTCTGCTTCTGGCCCCTAAATGTCACTGAAATGGTGACTTTTCTTTGTTGCTTGTTTTCAGAACTAACAAAGATGGGAAAAGCATTCCTATTCTCAGTTGGTAGCATTAGTGACCAAAGGTTATGTTCACTTTTGTTCCTTCATGTCCTTGTTTCTTCTCAGTGTTCAGATTGGCATACATTTGCAAACTAACCGAGAACAACTGCTACTGTGATGTCAGCAGAAAGTGGCCTTGCCATGCTACTGCCAACAATGTTGCTATGGTGCATGGAACACCTGACTGACAAGAGCACCCCTTTGATATGATTGTTGCAAGAGGGTTCTCCTGATCCAAGGGTTCTCAGCTGATAATCTGCCCCTTGGCCCTGGAGGTGCCATATTTTCCCTTTTCAGTGCACAACCTGCAAAACTGCTACCTAGCATCACTAGAAATGTTCAAGCACATATTTGCTGCAGTTAGTACTTTTTTTCCACTGGCCTATGCTTTCTACTCTTGCCCAGACAAAGTCTGGCTGGTGACTCACCTAGCAAGTAAGTAGTTTTTTACTTAGGTACATCTGATCTAGCTTTTGTATCCATGTGTTGTTCATGCTATCCCTTAGTAACTGAGTTGATTTTGAAATGAAAATGCCATTAAGATACTAGGACTTTGTAAAGCTCATGTCAAGAGCTTCAGCCAAAAATGGGGTGTCTGTAGCTCTCTCATGGGGTGTGGGCAGCTTTTGTAATTGAACTTGCAGGGGTTCTTTTCCGTGCATGTGTTGTCCTGTGGCAGTGGGGTCTCTAATTTCTTCAGCTGATGGTTCAACAAAGACAACTTCCAAAATGCAGACTGGCAGAGCTTCTGAGAAGTCTGTCTAAAGACTCTGCAGTTATCTCCAGAACTGAAGTAAAGCAACTTATTTTCTAAATTCTGTGATTAAAAGATTTCATGGTCTGACTTTACAATGGCTTGAAGAAAAGAACAACCTAGTATATTGCTCTGTTTTCTTGCTTGCTATGTAAAAGAATCGTTGCTACTGGAGTGACATCCTGGAAGAAGAATGCTCTTTATTTAGGCTGACTCATTCTGTGGGATTCCCCACAACAGGCAGTTTTCTAACAATATCTCTTATTTTCCCTTGCCCATTACAGGTGAAGTCGCACATAGATACAGAAAAGCCCATGCTTCGGTGAGTGACAAAGTAACCTCTGATATTCCAAGCATTTGGGAATCATGGAGCAAGCCATGAACTTTGCCTGCTGCAATAGGAGCCAGCCTTGTAGCCTGAAAGGAAGTTCCATTTCAGTGTCTGTGCATCAGCAAAAAAGGGGCTGTTTTGTAATTTTTTCTTGAAGAGCTTATAAGTAGATGAAAGTCTGTTTTTGCAGACAGAAAGTTGCTTGCTGTTTGTTTTTAGCCACGGTGTAATGAATTGTTTACATCAATATGCAGTTCTGTCTACTTAGCCCACTCTAATTTAGTCCCATTTATGAGGGGGTTTTGGCATGGCTTGAGATTGGAGAAGGGTCTCTTTCTTTCCTCAACTCAAGACTGCACTTATGGAATACAGCCCACTGGATGTTTTTTTTCCCAGTCATGGTCCTCCTAGATAAGGAAGAAAGCACATTTGCATTTCTAACCAGATACGAATGAAGAGTGTGGCAGACAAAATATCATGTGGAGATGCAGGCTTTCCTCTGTAGCTCTGGAAGGTTTCAACTTTCAGCCATTGGATTTGTACAACTAATATCAATCTTTTCGCCTGGATGAGAGTCTTACTCAGATGAAAAAGCAGCAAGATCAGTCAGTGCACTTTGAAAGGGCCCATCTGATGCAAAGCTGTCAATGAGAACATGAGGTGAGAGCAGGCCCAGCCACTGCCAGCTCTGAGTCCCAGCAGAACCCCAGCAGACCACAAAGCAGCCTCAGCATTGGCAGCTTGGAAGAAGGGGTTGGTAGCAGCAAGCAGCAGCCAGCCAGCCCTGGATGCTTGCCTCTTCCTGGGACCAGACCATTCATCCTGTATCAGAGCCAAACTGGCTGTAGGCTGCTCCTGAGGGGAATTGTAGCTGTGCTGTGAACTGCACAGCCTGGTGGGACTGGCCACCTTGAGTCTGTGCAGGCGTAGAGAAGCACCAGAGAGAGGGGAGTGGTGGTGTCACTGCTGAGGAGGCTGCTCTCCTGCGAGACTTGCAGCTAAATATTAATTAACTGTCCTGGATTTCCTGGAAAGCACAACAGCCCTGATTTTTCAGATGGCTGGTGAGGTTAGCCACTCTAGTTTCCTGAACAGGGGATCCCCAGGGGAGGTTGAGAGAGCTGCCAGGAGCCTGCAGCTGGCACAACAGTGGCTGACAGGACTTGGGTGTTTCAGGAGCAATGGGGGCCAAATGTCCATCCCCCCAGCCCCATAAGAAGTTCCTGGGCAGCACCAGCATCCAGGGCAGGAAAACAGGCTTTGGCACATCTGATCATGCAGAAGTGCATGCAGGAAGGGCACTGAAGCTCTTCCAGCTTGACCAGGGAGCAGCAGTACCCGATGGGGAGAAAGCCATGGCCTCTCTAAGCTCTGCACCCACCACGACTGATGCAGCTGTCTAGGGAGAGCTCTAGGGGATCCTGCTGCCCCCCAGGTGTAAGCTGCAGGCTGTGCCCTGCTTTTCCAGTCCCAGGTAGCAGCAGTGAGCACAGCTCTGGGAGCTGAGCCCAGGAACTCCTTCACTTAGTGCCAGAGCTGCATTCTGGGAGGAGGTGAGTAGTTATACACTATATATAGGTGTGTATCTGTACACTTATCTATTTATCTGACCACTTAGAGCAGTATAAATCAGAGGGTTTTTCCTCCAAGCTCGGTGTTCACAGCCCACCCTTGTGGCCAAATCCAAATTCTTTCTCAACTGTTCAGTGTTTGGACAGTTGGCATGGGCTGATCCGTGTTTGTGCTGGATGTTGTAATTGCCTGGGCTGTTGAGAGTTTTCAAGCTTATTTTCTTCCTCTAGTTCTCCCCCTTTCTGAACAGAAGGGCCAATAATTAAACACTCTTTGATTTCCAGGTTGTTGTAGCCTAAAGAGGAGCTGCCATCTCCCAAGGGAGAAAGATTTGAGAAGTCAAAGAATACCCCTTGTTTCTTTGCAGGATGTTTGAGACATATGAAAGTCTAGCTCTTTCAGCTAGAAACTTGCTGTTTTTGGCTTGAAACAGATTTAAATGTCCAAAGCCACCTGAGTAAAGCTGAGGGCAGTAGGAGGATCACCCCTCACAGCCCAAAGGTCTTTTTGAAACCTCAACTTTCAGAAGAAAACTTTGGCAAACCCACAGCGGGCAACATTTCACAAAAGTCAGAAAAGCACTTCTGGGTTTAAGAGCATTTATGGAATTAAGGGAATTAAGACTGAAGGTTTATTTTTTCCAAATTCCAGGGTGTTTGACACAACAAGAGGAAGGAACATGTACATGTACATGTACATGTACATGAGAAGCCATGGCCTGTCAGAGGAAGGGTCCCTCCCCAAGATTAAAGCTCAGTTTTGGGGTTTACAAGGGTAGAAAGAGTTTGATAGGGAAACTCATGAGATTTCTTTTCTACTTAGTTTATTGGCAAGGATTATTGATTAGTAAATGTAAGAGTTTAGGGGTTGCTATGTTTGGTCTTTTTGCCTTTATTAAATAATGAAATTAAAAAATGTTACATTCAAACCAGACAGAAATTCAGAAAAGTAGAACTGACCAATTGAATTAGAAATAAAGGATTTAAAATGCCTGGGTTATTTTCTCACTTCCAGGATGACTGCCACAATGAGAGGAAGGAACACTTCTGAGAGAAGCCATCACTTGCAGGAAAAGAGAACATCTTTTGTCAAGACTTAAAGAAGAATTTTGGGGCTAACAGGACTTAAAGATGGAATAGGGAACTGAATAAGCTTTATTATCTGCTTTTGTCATAAATCTACAGTCATGTACCACATTCCAGATGTCACCTGACCTGTTTTTTTAACATTTGTTTTCTTTTTTCTACTTAATTATGTAATTGTGTTTTGAATAATGAATGTAAGAGGGGTTGGGTTGGTTATGTTTTATGATGTGTTTTTATAATGTTTTATAATATGTTTTATTATCTAGTTTACTATAAGTAAACCATATAATATAAGTTTTATTAAATTTCATAATATGTTTTTTGTTAGTTAAACCCAAATTTCTTTGCTTCCTTCATGTTCCAAATGCAGCACTGATTTGGAAAAAACACAGGCACTCACTTTCTTCCCTTTGGAAAGAACCCAGCCCCTTGCTCAGTAGGTGGGAGTATGAAGGTCGATCATTCTTCCTCCAACCTGTGGGATTTTATAATTTCTTCCTAAGAATTCTGAAACATAAGCTTGAAACTGCAAACCCTTCAAGCCTGGGGACTGACCCAGGTTTAACTTGCTGTTGCATGGAAGCTCCTTTGCTTTCCAGTTAAAATGTAAATGTTTCCTTCATTTTGCTATTTCAAATCCTTTTGGCATGGTGTTCCCTGGGGGTGGATGCCAGGGTGTTGCCTAGTTTATTTTACCACCCTGTGCTGCTCCCTGTGTTCCCTGTGGTGCTGCAGCCCCTGCTTCTGTGACTCCCCTCACTCCTGGGAATCTGATTAGCAGCACACAGCACTCAGGTTTCAAGCCTCTAAAGACAAGCAGCAGTTTTTAGTCCAGTGAGACACAATGAGTCAGCCCCAAATCCCACTGCACCATCCGTGGTCTCCTGCCTGCCTGCTTGTTTGAAATGAGATAACTTTCCTGATTATTGGTTTTAATTAACTTTTTGATTAATTGTTTTAACAAACATAAGTAGTGTATTAGTCTTTAGCCGTGCAATTTTCCATTTTAGCCAGCACGTAGCTAAGTTTTTTTTACTAGCTGTTATTGTTAGAGTGTGATTATTAGATCTCAAAAAACTTTAAGCTGAACTAACTCTGATAAGCTCCACTGATAAAAAGCCCTTGGGAGTAAAAGGCTGGATACCTGGAATCCAGAATTTATAGCCCTCCAAGGACATGTGGAAGTAACCAGAAGTTAAAGAAGAGACTAATAAAAGTGATTCAACATGTTCTGGAGACCCTCTGTCTAGGAAAAAGATAATAAGAAAACTAAAAATGTGGACTAACTAGCATGAGAAGTGAGAAATCAATACACAATAGAAGATAGAATAATAATTGATGCAAAAAAATGTGTAATATATAACAAATGAATATTACATTCTTTGCTAAAAATGTATAAAAACCGGAAAAGTTTTGAAAGTCATGTGCATCTAGGTGGAGCACGTCACCCTAGAATAAACTAATGCCTACTCCCTAATACTACAAAAACAGTGTCAGAGAGTTTCATTTATCTTTATGGTTTTGGCAACATACTGGCAAGTCTCTGGGAATCAGCTGGCAGCAAAACTCCAGAAACTGTCAGTGACTAAGAGCAGGAGTGACTGTGGGAGCAGGATGACAGACATTCAGTGGGAATAGTGGCAAAGTGAGCAACATCCACATGCACACACAAACCAGACTGCTGGACTCTTCCTCCTCCTGTGGTGTGTAAGCTCCCATCTTCATCTTTGTTACCCAATAAGGTTTAAAAATGGGATTCAGAGTGTTTACAGCCATCTGCCAGGAAAAACAGGAGAATCATCCCTATTCCATGCAAAGACAAAATGCAGAGTCCAGGCTGGCAGTGGACTGACACACAAAAGGCTGGCAACAAGCCAAGGTTCAAAGCCTGGCTGGGGACACGTTGGTGCTCAGCCCTCCTGTGGAAAGGAATCAAACACCAGTGACCTTTGATGTTTTATTTTGGTTTGGTTTGGCTTTTGGTGCTTGTCTTCCTACAGAAAAGAGGATCTGACGTTCTAGGTTTCTCAGCCATTCAAGAAGTGTGAAATAATAACAACTACTTAGATACAATACAACATTTCCAGCACTTGCACCTGCAGGTGATTTTGGGCTCAGAAGGGCAGGCTCAGCTCAGTAATTAATAAGAGCCCCTGCTATAAGGGTAGCCAATGCAATGAAGAATTCTTGAGCAGTTCACCAGCCTCCATCCTGTGGCTGCCTCTGCTGAAAAATGTAGACAAACAGTCCAAATATTAAATGTTTCTAAGAAATAATTTTCTTCATGATTGGCCATTTAGATCACACACCTACATAAGCACTGATATTCAGCCTAAGAAAGCAAAGGGATAGAGAACTATTCTTACTAGATCCAGAAAGCATAGGGCTATATGTCATCTAAAGGAAAGGTAAATACTGGAACTGTCAGGGGCTTGAGGGTTTTTTTTGTTATTTTATGGGGTGTGGGGTTTTTGTTTTGTTTTTAATTACCTGTGACTTCTCAGTTTAAAAATAAAAAGAACAGACAAAGATCTGAGCCTTCACTATTTGTCTAGTTTTGAAGCCATTTTAAATGGCTCCACACAAGTTTTTTCCAAGTTGGAGGGTTCTCCAGACCCAAGATTGTCACTGATCAGTGCATGAATCCACCAAGAACAGTGGAGAGAGAGCAGCTGGTCCAACTCGGATTGTGAAATCCAGGAGGCTGCATATTGTTATACTGCAAATCATCTCTATGTGTCAGACCAAAAGAACAATTCTAAAGAATTGTTTGATTAGATTAGGAACTTTCAAGTTCTTTGGATCTACAGCCACAGATTTTCTCACTCACTAATGATTATTAGTTAATTAATGTAGCTGGACATCAGAAAATTGCCCCAAAGCACTGCATAGACCCAGCGGAGGACACACTGTTGGCATTCTATAGCTCTATAGCTAACATTTGAAGTATACTTTTCTGGAAAATATCCAAAAAAATGCAAACCATTTCCCTTATAGATCTTCCATGTTACTTTTCCTGAGGAAACCAACCATCGAACAGCAACTTAAAATTCTGCAATGCCTTCTAACACCATATTTAAAATTCCGGTCTAAAGGGAAATAATGTCCAGAATTCTAGGAGTATTCCAACAATGCACTTATTGCTCGTCATCACAATATGAATATGTCAACCCATGTCACAGATTTTGTAGATAAACACACACACACACAAAAATTTTGAAGAGTACGAGATTCATTTAGAACATATATTTTCCAAACAAAACACCTAAATGGCGGATGGCGAAAAAAGCAATTCTAATAGGCACTGGGAAAACACATCAACGAAAATTTCCTCGCAGACGCGACCGCTGCTGGCACCAGCTCCGGCTCCAGAGGGCGGCCCGAGGAGCCGGCGCTCCGCTCGTCCCGCCCCGCCGCGCCGCGCTCCCTCCCCGGGGCCGCCTCTCGCTCCGCCCCGGCCCCGGGACCGCCTCTGCCCTGCCTTCGCCCCGGGCTGCCCGCCCTTCCCTTCCCTCCTCCCGGCCCCGGGCCGCCTCTCCGGCCCTGCGGCCCGCCAGCGGCAGCGACGTGGTGCCGTGCCGTGCCGTGCCGTGCCGTGCCGTGCCGTGGCGGTGGCGCAGCCATGTGGCTGGCGGCGCTGGCGGCGCTGCTGGCGGCGGCGGGGGCGCAGTACGAGCGCTACAGCTTCCGCAGCTTCCCGCGGGACGAGCTGATGCCGCTGGAGTCGGCCTATCGCTACGGGCTGGACCAGTACAGCACCGAGAACTGGCCCGAGAGCGTCAGCTACCTGGAGGTCAGCATGCGGCTGTACCGCCTGCTGCGCGACAGCGAGGCGTTCTGCCACCGCAACTGCAGCACGGCCGGGCGGCCGCCCGCCGCGCCCGCCGCGCCCGCCGGCGCCGCGCTGGAGGAGCTGCGCCTCCTGTCCGGGGTGCTGCGGCGGGCGCAGTGCCTGCGGCGCTGCAAGCAGGGGCTGCCCGCCTTCCGACAGGCGCAGCCCGGCCGCGAGCTGCTCGAGGAGTTCCAGCGCCGCGAGCCCTACAAGTACCTGCAGTTCGCCTACTTCAAGGTGAGGACCCCCCCCCCCCACCCCCAGCCTCTCCTTGATCCCTCCTCCTTTCTCCTCCCATCTCTCTGCCCTGCCCCCCCCCCCCCCCCACCCCCAGCCTCTCCTTGATCCCTCCTCCTTTCTCCTCCCATCTCTCTGCCCTGCCTCTGCTCCCCCCGCCTCTGTCGGAGGCTCTCCTCGAAGTCTCGCCTGGTGCGGTGCCACCCTCCAGGCACGCCAAGCGCGCCTGTCGGTGTCGCGGTGGAGGCGGACAGCTTGGTGTGTCCCAGGACAGCCTCGACAGACCCCAAATGCCTCGTTCCCCCAATGCTAGAAAAACCTCCTGGCCTGCCGACCTCACACCTGGCCCTCGGAGCAGGTTACTCTGGGCCACAACCTCATTCCCCATCACCTCCTCCACACCAGTTCTCATCTGCCTCATCTTCATTTCTTCCCTGCCCCATGGTCAATCCTTGCCCTCTAGGCTGCCAACCCTACACTTTGTAATTCTCTCCTTGACAAACCTTTCTGCTGTTTCCTCCCACTCCTGTAACCCACAGTGGGATTAGTGTGTGCCTTGTCTTTCCCCCTGCTTACCCACATACCATCCAGCTCGCTCTTCACCCGTTTTTTACAACTCATCCAGCACGTGCCCTAGAGTGAGCCCTTCCAGTTCTTCCTAGACATCTGGCCACTGAACACTGCCTCTGTGTCCAGTAGCTGTGTCATTCCTGCCCCTCTCATCTTTCCATCTGCCTTACTTTCTAACCTTCTCTGGAACCTTTTTCAGACTCTTCATGTCACAGCTCTGCTATTGCAAATGATCTCCACTACTTCTTCTCCTTCAGCGTGTCCACCTTCTTCACTTGCTCGTTTCTGGTCCAGTTCTTTCAAGTGCAGCAGCCCCCAGCCTGTGACTTGCAGATAGTCTCATGCCTGGAAAACTCCAGTTTCATTACAGCTGCAAGAAGGAACAAAGCAAAAATTGGCTGCTGAAGTGGGACACTATAGTGCGAACCCTGGAATGGTATTTACCTTTTGCTCTTGGGTCAGCCACGCCTGGGGACACGCTCCTCTCATAACAGATTTCATCCATTTTTCTAGCTTTTCATTCTTCTGTCCAGGGTCTAATTGATTATTTCTCTCTTCTCATCTTCCCCTTCTGTTCTCTATATCAAGGTCCATCCCTCCTGCCATCCCCTCAGATACTGCAATTATTTCCATTTGAAATAAACAGGGCCTCTCTGTGGGGAGGAAACAAGCTGAGCTCTGGTTAGATTGTTTTCTCTTTTAGGGATTCCCTTCCAATGTATCCCAGTATACATTACATAGGGTTGTTTGCTTGTCCATTATTTTGAGGTTGCCTCTTGAAAACACACATCATCTAAACTATTGCTGCCCTGTTTTTAAGAGTGCTGTTTCCTCAGCAGTTTTTTCCAGACACTTGCAGGGAAATGTGTTCTCATAAAAACAGAACAGGATACACATGCAGT